CAGTTCTCCAGGTGAGGGTGATTCCCAGGGCTGGCGTCCCCAGGGCGGGAAGGAATCCCACCTGGTCCCTCTCCTTGGGGCCCTGTGGGTGAGTGGTCTAGAAGCCCCCACCCCGGGCCCAGTGATCGCCACCCACACCGAAACCGGAACCGAAAGGACAGCCCAGTAATACCGATCCTGGCTTGGATTCAAAATTTCAGTTTTCTTGTTTAGCATATATTTGTTTACGTTCAATTTTATCGGTGAAAATACTGCATTAAAATCTTAACTGAACTTTTTTTTTTGGACGCTGCTGCTTTAACACATTGACGGCCACGCTAGAAAAAAAAATTGCCCCTACCCCTGGGGCCACGGTGTTTTATTAGGAAAATAGAATAAAACCTTGGAAAACAAAACGATCCTTTCTCGTTTAATGAAAAATTTGTTACTGTTTGTTGTTTTCTGTGCATACGTTATATGCACCTTGAAAAATAGTTCAGGCGGCTTCCAAGGTGAAGAAAGGTGTGAGTTACATATGCTTCGCGAGGCCCCGGGCTCAAAACTAGCGTGAGTTAGATACAACTCACGTGACGGTCAATGTGTTAAATTCGGCTCCTAAAGCAAGTCCTCACCCACGTTGGATCCTGAGGCCACAGGTCTTCCAGCTCCTCTCTCTGCCCCTTCAGGTGTCCCCCACATTTGGCTGCAAAGCTGGAGAGAATTTGTTACTCGGTAAGCCAGACCCAGGCAGCCCCTACCCAGAGGGACAAGCTGGGGACACCCCCTCCTCTAGCTCTGTTTATTTACTCTGAGCAAGTGAGTTAACACATCGGACCAAGCTGCTTAACTGGTACTACCCTGGCCTCAAAACCTAGAAATTCCACATAAAGTGGGTGCGCATCCGGGCCATAGTTGGTTGTTCAGGGATACGGCAGAGGGTGAAGTCCCTGCCCACTCTAGTGTGGTGCTGTCTTCTAGAACTCTCTGGGAGTTTTCTTTTTAAGAGTCAGGGTCTTGCTCTGTCACCCAGGCTGGAGTGCAATGATGCGATCACAGCTCACTGCAGCCTCGAACTCCTGGGCTCCAGCGATCCTCCTGCCTCAGTCTCCCAAGTAGCTGGGACTATACGTGGCTGTATTTTCTATTTTTTGTATAGATGGGGTCTCACTATATTGCCCAGGCTGGTCTCAAACTCCCCGCAGGCCTCTAGCAATCCTCCCGCCTCAGCTTCCCAAAGTGCAGGGATTACAGGTGTGAGCCACCATGCCCGGCCTTGGGACGCTCTGTATCTAGAGTGTCTAATGTTGTACCCACAAGCCACAGGAAGCTATTGAGCACTTGCAAATGCAGTTTGTGTGACTAAGAAACTGAATTTTTGACTTAAACAGCCACACCTGGCTCTCATGCCTGCCTCCCTGAACAGGGCAGTTTTAAGGGGAAGAGGGAGAGGAGTGAATAGGGAAACAAGGTTCACAAAAACCATCGACGGTGCTCGCATCAGCAGCACATATACTGAAATTGGAACGATGCAGAGAAGATTAGCATGGCCTTGCACAGGAATTTCAATAAAAAAAAAAAAACATCGAGGAAGTGTAAGGTGATGGGAAAGAAAATATGTAAAAGGACTTTTTGGAGGCAGGGCAGCCAGGGAGGTCTTAGCAGCAGAGGTGATGTTCAGGGGTGATAGTTAGAGCCGGCCCTGGGGAGAATGGGGAAGGGTGTCCACAGCCCGTGCAAAGGCCCTGGGGCAGGACCATGCCTGGCATGTGGGAAGCCCAGCAAGGAAGCCTGTGTGGCTGTAGCAGAGGGAGCAGGGAGAGAGAGGGAGGAGGGGAGGACAGGGAGGGGACGGGGCATGTCGTGTACAGGACCTGGTGGGCCGCAGGGAGGATGTGACCTTCACCCTATGTCAGGAATGGAATCCAAAGAGCTTCCAAATTAGTTCCTCCTGTGAGCAAGGTAAGTGCTCTGCCATGTAAGAGCAGAGACCAGAGAGGTGCAGAGGCTTGGCCAGGGTCACACAGCATTCAAACCCTGACTCTCACCTGCGCTGGGGACCGCCTCCCAGTGTGATTGTGATTGTCCCTTTGCAGCTGCAGAGGGTGCAGGAGGATCTTGAAGGCCAACAAAAGCAGGTGAGCTCCCGGGCTTGGGGACGGCTGGGGATGAGAGAGGGAAGAAGGGACAGGCAGGTTGTGCAGGGCCTGGGGGAGGACTTGGGCTTTGACCCTGAGGGAGGTGGGAGCCATGGAGGGTTGTGGGCAGAGAGGGCACGGGCCCTGACTTGGAACTCCCTGTGTGATATTAGTGGCCCCTCCTCCCACATCTTGGGGGCACGGGGAGGCAGGGCCGTCTCCTGTCCTCTCTCTCTGTCTCTCCCGGAAGTCGGGCTGGGCCAGGCCTGCTCCTGGGTCCCTGTGTGGCCTGGGTGACCGTCCGCAGGTCAGCAGCTTCAGACAGGGACGGCCTGTGCTTTGCCAGTCTGTGGTCCTCCCTGCGTCCGAGAGTTGTCAAGGACCCAGATCACGCGGGAGCCGGGACGGGTGCAGGGCAGGCTCCCACCTGCCAGCCCAGGGCGCCCGGCCCAGGCTGAAGTATGTCTTCCACCCCTGTCTGTCCTCCTGCCACCTGGCCCTTTCTCCTGGGCGCTGGCAGGACTTTCTGGCTGTGCCAGATGTACCTGGCAGAGGCCCAGGGCCGTGTCTGCAACTTAGCGGGCAGGGGGGCCAGGAAGCAGCCCGAACATGGTTATTCATTCAACAGATACTTATCCTCGCCTGCTTGCCAGATACTGTTGTAGAAGCCAGGGAAATAGCAGAGGGGACACAGACAGGGCTCGCTGCCCTGGGGGTGAGCGGAGCCTGGTAAACAGAGTGAGGTGGTGAAGACCAGGCCGGGGAGGGGGCGGAAGACATCAGCCTCATGGGGATTGTGTGGGGAGGGGGGCAGGGGTTGCAGTTCAGGTCGGTGGGGAAGGCTTGCTGAGAAGGTGACATCTGAGTGATCGATTGAAGGAAATTGGAGAGAGGAAGTGTGGCTGTCGGGCTGGGACAGGGGAGGTTATTTCGGGTACAGGGCACAGCCCGTGCAAAGGCCCTGGGGCAGGATCATGCCTGGTTTGTCGGAGGCACAGCGAGGAGGCCCATGTGGCTGGAGCAGAGTGAGGAGGGGAGAGAGGGAGGAGGGGAGGGCAGCAGAGAGGGGACAGGGCAGATTGTGCAGGGTCTGGTGGGTGGCGAGGAGGACTTGGGCTTTGCCCCTGAGGGAGGTAGGAGCCATGGAGGGCTGTGGGCAGAGGAGGACAGGGCCCTGACTCGGGTGCTCACGGGCGCCCCCTGACTGCTACAGGGAGGGCAGACAGATGGGATGGGGGGTGAGGGCAGAAAGCAGGGACCAGTCAGGACCGGGCAGGTGTGGGATGCTGGTGGCTTCATGAATTGCGGACCCAAGTACCAGCAGGCGGGGGCAGGGGGGGAGAAGCCCACGCGGAGCCCCTCCGTTGCTGTCCCCACGCAGGAGGGTCCCCACCCAGCAGGCCCCTCACGGGGTCCAGGCCAGACCACTTCCTCCTCCCCGCCCCTCCGCTTCCAGCTCCTGGTTTTCGCAGCCTCCTGCCCGCGCTGTTGAAATCCGCATCCCAGCAGCCGCCTGCACGCGGGCCGGGCCGGCTCCCCAGGGAGGGCGGCAGGCAGGCAGGAGGGAGCCGCTTCTCCTGCTGAGCGCATTAAAGTGCCGGTAAATTGCGCATTAACGAGCCGGGGTGAATTGGAGAGGGCTCCCCCGGGCTCTGTGCACGGCGGGCTGGAGAATCTATCACCCGCTGCCCCAGGAGGCAGCAGCCCTGGGCTCCCAGGGACGGTCCCGCCTCCCTGCCCCTCCCTCCTCGCCCTGCGCAGGGGACACACAGGTAGCCGGTGTGTGCAGACACACAAAACGCAGATCCGGACACTCAGCTTCTCCAGTGGTGGCCGTGATGCCCAACCCCGTGGCCCCTGGGCACCCGAGCCGGACCCGGCCCAAGCTCACACGTGCTGGGACATGACTCACACCCTCCCGCTCTCAAGGCAAAAGAAAATGGAAAATAAACTCAGTGCTCTTTTTATATGAGTTGCACGTTGGAAGGACAGTGTAGACCTATCGGATGGAATGAAATACATCTAGAGTTCGTGTCACCAAGTTCCTAATACCTTGAACGTGGCCGTTACGACGCTGTACGTGTGCGATTCGCTTCCGTGCACGACTCCAGTTATACTCGTGTTGGATCGTGCGGGTCTAGATTTTAGTCTGTTTGGGAAAGTGTAAGTCTGGAATTGGTAGTGGTCATGTGGCTTTTTAAAAAACACACCATGAAGTGACTGTCTCCCAGGGTTCCCCGGACCGTCCTGTCGCGATTTCTTTTTCCCAGTAGGTGATTCTCGGTTTCTTTAGTGTCTATCCAAGGTTTGTTTAAGCAAATTAAAATATCTTTTCACACAGGGAGGCACGTGTCTACACTGTTTTGCTTCTCAAAGCCATTTCAAGCCAGAGGGTGGTGGCGGTGAGGTTTTCACTTTGAAACGTCCCCACGAGAACAGCTGGGATTTGAACCTAGCTGTGTCTTGATGGTGACCAGCCATCAGGGTCAGGTGTGTGTGTCACCAGCCACCGAGGCCGGCTTCCGGCTGTATTGAGAACTCGATTTACACAGCAGGGCGTTTAATCTGGCCCAAAACCTCCGTTCAGGGCGGGCGCTATGGCCCCATTTTACAGATGGGGAAGGTGGCGCCAGCATTGCGGACGCCCCTGCACTAACCTTGAACTGTTCTACCACCCGCCCTCTAGATAGGAAACATCTTGCAGATCGTGCAGAGCTGTGGCGAACCCCAGGGGTTCCCGTCCATGGGGGTAGGTTTCTGGGTCCTCGAGGGGTGGAGGTGCCCCCGTCCGGGCTTGGGTGAAGGGTACATCCTTGTGTGCGTCACCGCCCCTGTGCCTGCCGTACCAGGTGGCCCAGATCGCCCCTGCTGAGCCCAGTGGCCCTGATGTTCCCCCCCACCTGGAGGCCAAGACCCCGCAGGAGCAGAACTTCACAGAGGTCCTGGCCACGAGGTCATCTGACTGGCTCTGGTGGCCCTTCGGAGCAGGAGCCCAGCAGGAGACTCAGCCGTCCTGGGACTGTCGGCCCCGGTTTTGGCAAGATATTCTGACGGAGCAACTCTGGCAGATTTTTGCTGGTGTCCCCACCGAGTCCAAAGACCTGGGACACGAACGTGAGTCTCCCTTGGGGTGAGGGAGAAGGGGGGCGTCTCAGGCTGGGTCCCAGGGGGCTGCAGAGTGAACCCGACTGTGCTGTCTCCCCATCCCCCTCCACCTCTCCCGTTGCCATAGTGACAGAGCAGGCGCCAGGGCTGGTGAGTACATACATGTGGCTGTACCCAGGTTGGGGGCATCTGGGCTGGGTGGCTGTCCTGGTTGGGCTCCTTGACCTCAGGGCATGGGGCTTCCTGTGGGACCTGTCCACCTCCTCCACCCTCGTCCTGCCTCCTGCCTTGTCTCTTGAGTCCCCAAGGAGGACCCGGGTGAGACAGAGACTGTTAGAACAGCCCGGAGTCTGCAGCCTGGGGCTGCCAGGACCCTGCTCCGAGACTTTCCGCAACTCTGCCTAGACGAGGAGGAGACAGGACCCGGCAGTGGGGACGAGCCCCCTCCCGCCCCACCCCAGGGCATAGCCTGGGCACCCCTGAGGTTTTCTGGTTTTAATGCCCTGGGCAGCTTAAGCTGCTCTGACCAGAATCTCCCATTCCCCACGGGCAGGAAAGCGAGGCCCAGGGTCCATGTGAGTCGGAAGCAGAGCCGGGTACGGAAGACACCTCGACTCACCGCGGTAGGAAGCGGCTGGCTCCAGCCTGGGGCGGGGGGTGCAGCCTGCCCTGGGGGGCCAGTGCCAGCTGCTTAGGTCCCCTTGTTTCTGCCCAGCTCCTGGACGGCCCAAGACCTCCGATAGGCCCCCGGACGGGAGCAGAAGCTGGGGTGTGGCCCAGGTGAGACCCAGGCCTGAGCTGGCACGTGTCCCCATCAAGGCTGGCGGGGCAGAGGTAGTGGGGACCGGTGGGGCAGCGGGGGATGGGGGCAGCTGAGATCTCGCCCCCCTGCAGGAGCCTGCTGGGAGACCCTGTTCGTTTCTGAAGCCCATGTAAGTGTCTGCACGGTTTGCTTGGGGGCAGGGGTGGCAGGGAACCCCCACTTCCCTGTACCTCTGTCCCGGGCAGGGAAGAGGACCAGAGGTGTAGGTTTGTCTCACCCGTCTCCCACCACTGCTGCGCTGTCCTGTCCAACCGGGCCCGTGGAGTCCAGCGCTGCCCCTTCCCTGCGTAACCACCCTGGATTCGAGGGATTTGGGGAAGGGGGCGCAGGGCTGTGTTTTCAGATGGCCCCAACCTTATAGTTACAGGCCGAGAAAGCCCATATACGGGGAAAGAGAGGGCTTCCTGGAGGAAGGGGCTTAACAGTTAGGACCCTAAAGGATGAATAGGAGTTTGGCCTCATGTGGCACAGCATTCCGGGCAGAAGGAAGAAATGTGTCTGTGGCAGAGGGGGACTCTTTGGAGGACTGTGGGTAGGATGTTGGATGTTGGGGGGAATGTAGTAGGGAAACAAGGCCTAAGAAGAAAACCCCAATATCTGGTCAAGAACGAAGCCCCTCTGGGGCTGGATTCGTGGCCTCCACCGGGCAGAGGGGCTCACAGGCAGGCCAGTGACCCCAAGGCCTCCCCCCCTCCCCGAGATGCTGGGATCCAGAGGACTTTGAGGACACGTGGAGGAGGCCAGACACCTCGCTGGGGCAATCCAGGCGGCTGGCTGTGCCGCGCCAGCTGGAGGAGATGCGGTCGCTGGAACACGGGGAGTCCGTGCTCGCCGTGGCTGTCAGCAGCTTCACGCGGCACGTGTTTACCTGCAGCAGGGGCGGCGTCAAGGTGTGGAGCCTGACCGGCCAGGTGGCCAAGGACAGGTTCCCCGAGACCCACCTGCCTGTACAGGTGAGAAGTGGCAGCGTGGGCTTCCGGGGGCCGGGCTGGGCTCGCGGAGAGCTCCCTGCTCACGGTGACTCTGCCCACCCCAGACCCCAGGGGCCTACCTGCGCGCCTGCCTGCTCTCGTCCAACGGCAGGACGCTGCTCACGGGCGGCTGCAACCTGGCCGGCGTGAGCGTGTGGGACCTGGCGGCGCCCTCCCTGCGCGTGAAGGACGAGCTGCCCTGCGGGGGTCTCACCTGCCAGGCCCTGGCTGCCAGCGCCGACGACAACCTGGCCTTCAGCGGCTTCAGCAGCGGCACGGTCAGGGTCTGGGACCTGCGGGATCACAGCGTGGTCAGGTGTGGCCTGGGGCAGGGGCCGGGTCCTGTTTCCAGCACCCCGCGACCACTCTCAAAGCCGAAATCCCCTCCCACCTTGAACTTGCATTTGAGAAAGTCGGAGACACAGACTCGGATCTTAGCTGGGCTGTTTCCTTGCAGTGAAGCCATCCTACTTTGTGTCTGCCTCAGTTTCCCCCCACCTGGACACGGTGTGACAGCCCCAAACTCATAGGATTCTCAGAAGGGCAAATTTGTTGTAAAAGCGTAAAACAATAAGTAAATGTTTCCGGGAGTGGATGGCTGACGTGAAATACGGCATCCGGCCCGCCAGCCCTGTTGCCTTGCCCTGTTTGACCGGATTCCCCTAGACCCACTTCGGCGCTAGCGTAGACCGAGGGTGGTGCTATCCCTTTGGCGCCCAGACGTAGTGGTGGTGTTTCCCAGGGCCCGAACCTCAGAGTCTTGGCCTGACCCCCTCCCGATGTCCCTCTGGCCAGGGACTTGCCGGGCTACCCGAACGGAGCCAAGAGCATCGTGGTCAAAGCCCACAACATCTGGACGGGGGGGCTGGACGCCTGTCTGCGGTGCTGGGACCAGCGCATGGGGAAGAAGCCCTTGGAGCACCAATTCGAGTCTCAGGTGCGCAGGCGGGGGTGGGGCCTGCCCGGCTGGGCAGCGGCAAACAAGGTTAGAGAACGAGGTCAGTGCAGGGACTTTTCCTGAGTCTCGGTGACGCTGCAGGAATAGGGGTCGTTAGGAATATTCTCTGCTGTTGCCGAAATAATAGCAAACATTCTTATTTCTGTGTCAGGTGCAAAGTTGAGGGAGGCTTGTGCCCATTTCACAGACCAACACACTGAGGCAGCGGGAGGAAGTTGTTTGGCCCAGGGGCTGCGAAGCTACAAAGTGGCTGGGTAGCCGGCCTCCAAGGGTGGGTCCCTGGGCTCTTGTCTGCCTCCTGGGCCGGGCTGGGACCTGACCAGGTTCCTCCCTGCCACCTGCCCCCCTCTCCCTAGATAATGAGCCTGTCCCACAGCCCCCAGGAAGACTGGGTGCTGCTGGGCCTGGCCAACGGGCAGCAGTGGCTGCAGGACACCCGCGGGGACCAGACACACATGGTGGGGTCCGATGACAGTGCCATCTTGGGCCTCAAGTTTTCCCCCTTTGGTAAGTGGCCGGCAGGGCAGGAAGTCCCCTGTGGCCCCCGCCCCATGTCCCTCTGGAACAACCCAGAGCTCCTCGTTAGCAGACACTGCTCTTGAGGATGCTGTCACAGGGGGGATGCAGGAGGGAGGGTGGGGTGCGACCCTTGGCTGGCGTCCCCATGCCCGGGCGCCTCTGTGTCCTCCCAGGCCGATGGTGGGTGAGCGTTGGCATGGACAACGTCAACATCCACAGCATGCCCGCGGGAATGAAGGTGTTCCAGGTACCGCAGCGGGCTGGGGGTGGGACCCCGGGATTGGCCCTGAGGGGGCCACGTTGAGCTCACCGGTGGCGGTCGGGCTCACTGTGCCCCACCGCCCTCGCAGGTACCCGAGACCTCCCCCGTCATGTGTTGCGATGTGTCTTCCAACAACCGCCTGGTTGTCACGGGCTCCAGGGACCATGCCTCAGTGTACCAGATCACCTACTGAGGGGCCTCCCGCTGCCATCCGACCCCGGCTCCTTTCTTTCTCTCCCCCCCCAAGCCCCCGACGGAGAGTAGTGGTGGAGGCCACGGGAACGGCCTCCACCACATTGCGAGATTGAATCGGTGGTTTGTGGACTCTGATCTTTGTCACGGGTAATAAAGCAAGGAGGAAAAGCAGTGCAGGTGTGTCCTGTCCTCTCAAGAAGGGGGAGACTTCCCGGTCCTGCCCATCTTAGTAAAATTTGGAGGGACTTTGTCCAGCTGGGTGGCTCTGAGCCTTTGAGGCCACGTTCTCGGAGAACCCAGTCAAAGCCACGGACGCCGGCTGTCGGGAGTGGGTCTGCAAGATTCCTGAGACTTGTCCCATCAGACCAACGGGTCTCGACCAGGAGTGATTCTGTCCCCCATGGGACACTGGGTGCTGTCTGAGGACATCTGTGGCTGTCACGACTGGGTTGCGGGGGGGTCCCGGCATGGGGTGGGTGGAGGCAGGGACGCTGCTCAGCACCTGCAGTGCCCAGGATGGCCCCGCCCCAGACAACCATTGGCCCCAGGTCCTGAGCTGACACTGGTTGATGATAGCTCCCCGGTTGGCCACCGACACTAGAAGGGGCCCAGAAAACACCCCTCCCCCTTTGCAGACTAGGAAGGAGCCCGGCCGGCTTCAGCAGGTCTAGTGTCCTCCACCCAGAGCATCGCCCCAGCTCCGTGCGGCGTCTTCAAAAACACCCACCTGGGTGTTTTCAGCAGGAACCTGCCATTTCCCTCCAGCGTGTTCCAGCAACATCCTTGCTGTCCCCATGCACATGGCACCGCCCCGCCCCTGGGATTCCAGAACTGATGGCCACTGCCCTCCCTGCTTCGGGCTTAACTCTCACCTGGAGACCTCGCCCTGCACGACCCAGCTGTCTTGCTATCTGCCAGGCCAGGCTCCCCTCCTCTGAGCCTCCGCACATGCTGTTCCACCCTCTCCAGCACAGTCTCCTCTGGGCCCTCAAATGGCTGTTTCTCATCTACTCAAGCTCCGTGTAGCCGTCATCTCTGCTGGGCGTGATGTTTGCTGAGCACCTCACTGCAGGCCAGGTTCTTGAGCATGGGTGGTCTCTGGGTCTCACAGGAAGTGCAACTGCACCCCTAATAACTCTATCCACCTTATCTCATCCCCCCTTGAATTCACACTGAGTTTTGGGATGATTCTATCCCAGGGCTGGCAGTGAAAGAGATACAGGAAATTTGGGGGCTGGAGTATTTACTTTTGAGGGGGCTGGGTCTCACTCTGTCGCCCAGGCTGGAGTGCAGTGGCACAATCATAGCTCACGGCAGCCTCCAATTCTGGGCTCAAGGGATCCTCCTGCCTCAGCCTCCCGAGTGGCTGGGACTACAGGTGCCACCCTACCCAGCTAAGTTTTCAATTTTGTTAGAGATGGGGTCTCACTATGTTGTCCGGGCTGGTCTTGAACTCCTGGCCTCAAGCAATCCTCCTGCCTCGGCCTCCCAAAGTGCTGGGCTTACAGGCGTGAGTCACCACACCCAGTCTGGGCGAGGGTATTAAAATTGGTGGGCAACCGGTCTCCCCTGCGGTCTCAGACCCTGCAGCTACACATTGAGGTGGGCAACTTCCTGCCCAGGGCCCTGAGTGCCTGTTTGGCTCGAGCCCGCACGCCATCCGGGTACAAGCAAGGCACAAACGTCTGTCGTGTTAAACACTGAGACGGGGGTGCTGTTTGTTACACAGCCGCATCTGAATGGTCGTGCCCGATGCCACTGTCACGGTAGTGGCTGTTTGCACAGATGCGCCTCTGTCATGTAGAACGAACCCTCGTTACCGACGGTCACACAACCCAGCAGCGGCAGCCCCCCAGTAACTGTGCCCGGGACAAGCAATGATCAGTGGCTGTTCGCCCAGCCCAGGCAGCCGGCGGCTGTGATAAATACATTTATTTCCCCGGGGCCCCATGCCCCATACCCAGCAGGGAAGGCGGGAGGCAGCTGGCCGACAGCAGACGGGGCTTAGCGCTTAGACGAGGCTGGGGAGGGAGCTGTTGGGGCCTCTGTCCCGGGTTCCCCGTCCCCCAGGAGTCGGGCTGGGGGTGCCGGAAGAGGGGGTCTCAGTAGACCACCTCATACACGGTGGCCTTCTTGTCGCCCGAGCCTGTCACGATGTATTTGTTATTCCTGGAGATGTCACAGCTCAGGACTGAGGATGACTCCTTGGACTGCCAGGGGGGAGAGGGAAAGAAACGGGAGGAGTGAGGCGAGGCCCCCAAGGAGGGGTGTGTGGTCCAGTCTGGGGCAGAGTCGGACCCGGGAGTGGAGCCAGGACTCTCCTAGCTGGGGGAAGGAGGGTGACGCCTTTTCTAGAGAAAGGAGCTTTGGAGCTGGGGCGCTTCTGCACAGATGTGTTCCTGGGAGGAACAGGGTCGAGGGAACGGAGAGCTGGAACGGAGGCTCTGCTTTTCTGGACAGCTCAGAGAGGGTGTGTACCAGGCATGAGGTCACACAGCACAGGGACCCAGACCACGGGTCAGCAAATTTTGCAAAGGGCCCAAAGTAAGGATTTTAAATAAGTCTATTCACATATTCTACAGGGTTTTTTGGTAACCCCTTAAATATGTAAAAAGCGCTGCACACCCACTAGGATGGGTATAATAAAAACAGTAACAAGTGTCGGTGAGGACGAGGAAGGATTTTAAAAGTGATGAAGCTCTGACACAGACCACAGCGTGGATGGACCCTGGGGACATCGTGCTCAGTGAGAGACGCCAGACACAGAAGGACACATCCTGTGTGATTCCACTCACAGGAGGTCCCTGGAGTCGTCAGATCCACAGAGACAGGAAGCAGGATGGTGGGTGCCAGGGGCTGGGGAGGGGGTGGGGAGTGAGTGTCTCATGGGGACAGAGCGTCAGTTTGGGAAGATGAGAAAGTTCTGGAGGTGGAGGCTGGTGACGGTTGCACGACACTGGGAATGTGTTAACGCCACTGAGCTGTGCACTCACAAATGGTTAAGATGGTCAGTTTTATAACGTTATATGTATTTTAGTAAAACCAAAATATTTTTTGAAAACCAACAGGCTACGGGCAAATGAGGCCCCCGCAAGCCCTGCTGTGGTAGCTGGTGGCGGGGAGGCTTCCGGGACCCCAGGGGAGGGTCAGAGCGGCGGGTGGGTGGGCCTGGGGGACGGGGGCGCTCCCTGCATCTGACCCTGGGGCACCTGGGCACGAGGCGTCCTGCCAGGGCTGGGGGCTGCCGGCTGCTGCGTACCTGGAAAATGCTGGCCCCGTACGGCGTCCTCCAGGCGTTGAGCAGGTTGTCTTTGCCGGTGCTCACGAACCACCGCCCTGGGGAGGGAGGGCAGGGGAAGTTGCAGGAGCGGACACTGTGGCCCAGGGGGAGGTGGGGCAGGCTGGGCTTGGCCTGTCCCTCTCTTTGCAGCCGTCTCTGCCCTCACTGAGGGGACACAAAACCACCTAGAAAGCTGAGGCTCAATTCTTACCCCGCATTTCCCAGGTGGCAAAGTTCAGGCTCTAAGAGGCTCCACCCGGCCGGCAAGAAGCGGGTGGCCCCAGGGCAGGGGGGCTGCCAGATAAGATCCGAGACGCCCAGTTAAGTATGAATCTCAGGCTGGGGAGCAATGGCTCACACCTATAATCCCAGCACTTTGGGAGGCCGAGGTGGGAAGGCTGCTTGAGGCCAGGGGCTTGAGATCAGCCTGGACAGCATAGCAAGACTCTATCTCTATAAAAATTTTTTAAAAATGTTTTTTAGGCCGGGCATGGTGGCTCATGTCTACAAACCTAGCATTCTGGGAGGCCAAGGTGGGAGGATTGCTTGAGCTCAGGAGTTCGAGACCAGCCTGAGCAAGTGCGAGACCCCCGTCTCTACTAAAAATAGAAAAATTAGCTGGGCGTGGTGGTAGCGCCTGTAGTCCCAGCTACTCGGGAGGCTGAGGCAGGAGGATCGCTGGAGCCCAGGAGTTTGAGGTTGCTGCAAGCTAGGCTGACACCACAGCACTCTAGCCCACGCAACAAAGCAAGACTCTGTCTCGAAAAAAATAAAAAAAATATTTTTAGTACAAGTCTATCCCACGCACTCCACACCATGTGGGCCATACTCGTACTAACAAATGATCGGCCTTTTAATGTAAGTATGTCGCACACAATATTTGGGACATACTTACGCTAACGAATCATGTTATTTATCTAAGACTGAAATTGAATCGGGCATCCTGGGTTTTTCTGTTTTTTTTTTTTCTGGGTGGGGGGTGAAGCCCCTAGCCCAGGACCCCGGTCCCCGCCCCCCGGGGGCCGCACCGCAGGACGCGAACTTGAGGGACAGCACGCAGCTCTCGTGCAGGTGCAGCTGGTACTTCTCGGGCTTGCGCACGTGCAGGATCTCCACGTTGCTGCTCTCCATGCCCACGGCCAGCCAGTCCTGGTTGGGGCAGTGGCCCAGGGAGAAGATCTGGGCGGGACAGGGCAGAGATGGGGTCACCAGCCCCTCGACTGGTGGGAGGGCGTGGTGGGGGCCCCAACATTCTCCCACGTCAGCCCCCACGGAGAGAGGCGGCTGGCCAGGGCCCGCGAGCAGCAGGCGACCGCGTGTCGGATCATTAATATTAATCAGAGTCACACAGCACCCCGGGGCCGCGCATCCATTATCTGCTCTGAGCGCACAATGGCGCTGGGGGGAGCCAGGCGGGGACAGTCGCTCCCCTGGAGCAGATGGTAGAAGCTGAGGCAGTGTCGCCTCAAGGTGACAAAGCAACTCCGTGAAGGACCAGGCCCGGGAGCCAGGACCTCTAACCCCAAGGCTGGAACTCTCCCCACGAGCGACACTCCTTTTTGTTTTGATTTGGAAGGACTCCGTGTCCCCACCCCATGTGAAACACAAAGAGGAGCAATGCCCCATCCTGCCCCGAACCTCTCCAAGTCTTAAACTATCAAACACACGCCTGCAGAAACGGCCCTACATCCACAGCAGAGAGAGGACGGGAAGGTTCCACATGTTCTTTCCTGGCCATACAGAAGTGTTCCCGTATAGAGACGGGGGTGGGGGGCACCCAGTAGGATAGGAGATATTCATCCTGGGATCCCCAGAGATGGACTCAGCCCACCTAAGCCTTGGGGACACAAAGTGGACAGCTATGTCCACCCGCACTCCTGACTTCCGTATCAAAGAACTCTTCAAGCCAAAGAGAAGCGCAGGTTGGACGTAAAGAGCCTGGGAACTGGCTTCTCCTGGTTTCAAGGAGGAGGGGCAAACTGGAGATGGGTTTTGAAGGATGTATAGGAGTTCACCAATTAAAGAAAGGAAGGGAAAGGCATTTTGGCCATAGGTACACGGGTCTTCAGGTGTTCCAGGCTGTGGTGTGTGTAAGACTAGCCCATGACATCGTGGCTGACAGGACAAGGAGCTCACATGCTGCCCCAGAAGCAACAGGTTGGTGGTGCCTGAAGGCCTGTCCTTGACGGTCTTTGCCCAGTCTGGAAGAGCCCTGCTCTGCCCAGCCCCTTCACCACGTCCTTTAGCCTAGGCTCGCACAGCACCCTCAACAGGGACCTCTCCGCACCCAGCTCTAACATCAGCCTCCACCTGTCCCCTCTGTGGTGTATGGACGCTCCCCCATAGCTCCCCTGAGTCCTCAGTGGGGCCCCGAGGTTAAGGGCTGGGAGGAGAAACAGCTCTACAAGGAAGACAAAGACATGGGGCAATGGCTAGACAAGACCATGTGGGAAGACGATCTGAGGGTCTTAGTAGCCCCACAGCTTAATAGGAATCAGCTCCTTGGTGTTTCCCTGTGTCTTTGGAGAGTTAAAGGGGACTGTGGATGTGTCTGGAGGACAAAAAAGGAAGGCATCATGGTGGACATGAGTCCTGGCTGCAACTGGGAGGGGGCATCTCTTGGGGAAAGGAAAGGATGCTGGGTTCGTGCAGTTCCACCACCCCACCAGATCTCGAGTGGCACCTGGGAGCTGAAGTCATGCTGCTGCAGCTGGCGGCCCTCCCGCAGGTCCCAGCAGCGCACGGTGTTGTCCAGGCCCCCCGTCCAGAGCCGGGTGCCGTAGTCAGAAATGTCGATGCAGCTGGCACCGTCCGTGTGGCCCTGGAACTGCCTGGAGACAGAAGGGCCCAGGTGTCCATCCTAGAACTGAGGCTGTTCCAGCATCCTCCCGGGTCACTGCTCGGCCCCCACCATGCACAGGGCAGGCGGGGGCTCACTGAGGGTCACAGCGCACCCGCCACCCACCTGACCATGGTCTGGTTCTGCAGGTCCCAGACCACAATGTTGCCATCGCTGCAGCAGGAGAAGCAGACCTTGGCGTCGGGGCTGACCGCCAGGGCGTAGCAAGCGGGGGCAGAGGAGGTCAGCTCGGCCTTGATGCGGGGCGTGGGCGCCGCCAGGTCCCAAATGGACAAGGTGCTGGCCTCGCCGCCCACGATCAGACTCCGGCCATCGGGCAGCAGCTTGCAGGAACGAATATAGTTGTCTCGGTTCTGGGGCCAGGGAGAGAAGCAAGGACTGGGGTTGGTCCCGGGTGAGGTCTCTGGGAGCCTGGCCCAAGGCTGGGTCTCTGGAGCCCAAAGCAGCGCCGACCCTGGTTGGCCTGCAAACCCCACCACTATTTACCTGTAAGCCCCACCCAGGTTGGCCTGCAAGCCCCGCCCCTGGTTGGCCTGTAAGCCCCGCCCAGGTTGGCCTGTAAGCCCCGCCCCTGGTTGGCCTGTAAGCCCCGCCCCTGGTTGGCCTGTAAGCCCCGCCCCCACCTGCCCTCTGCGCCCCGCCCCGCCCTCACCAGGCAGTCGAGCTGGGCCACGGGCGTCTTGGCGCCAGGCTGGCCCACGTCCCACACCTTCACGCAGCCCTTGCCGCCCGTGTACACGTGCTGCGTGGAGCCGCTGATGGTGACGGCGCAGACCACCTCGCCGTGCGCCAGCGTGTGCAGCTGCCGGGCGTGCCGCGGGATGCCCGCGCCCACCAGCGCGTCCGAGGGGAAGGGCACCGGCTGCATCTGCCCGTCGGCGGACACGTGGAAGGAGTAGGCCCTGGACGGGAGGCAGGGGCGTGACCCAGGCCTTGGGGGACAGCCCTCGGCACCCTCACCTGGGAGGGCAGGGAGGGGCCTTCGCCCTGCCTGGTGCCCTCGGATGCGTTTATAGAAGGGTGACAACGTGGTGGCAGGTGACCTGGGACAGTCAGTGCAAAGGCAGAGGGTCTGGGTGGTGGCCCTAAGCAAGCTTAATAAACGTTTGAACTGAGGCCCACGAAGATGGCCTGAGCCTGCGGGAGCCCCAGCCGGCGGTAGCCAGGTAAACCTAAACGCGCTGGAATAAAATGCACTCAGTGTTTCAGTTCCTCAGTTGCGCTGGCCACATTTCAAGTGCTCGAAAGCCACACGCGGCTGGTGGCAACCAGAGCGGACAGCAGCAGGACCTACAACATGCCCGTCACTGCAGAAAGTTCTACTGCTACTCAGGACAGGGTGGTCCTGGGCACTGCGGGTGCTGAGCAGTGTCCCTGCCTCCACCCACCCCATGCCAGGGGCGCCCCCAGTCATGACAACCACAGATGTCCCCAGATATCGCCAGATGGCCCCCGGGGGGCAGAATCTACTACCATCACGGCCCATGTACACCCATCTAGACTTTGCTCTTTGTGTACCCCTGTCTCCAGCCGCTGCTCTGGGAACCCCGATTATCTTACAGAAGAGACTTTCTGGAAGGACAGCGGGGAAGCCCCAACCTCCACCCCACACAATGGAAGCGCTCAAAGGAGACCAGAGACTGGCCCCGTCCCCAGCGAGCCCCGCCCTGGTACTCACGGCTTTCCCCCAGGGATGCTGGGCAGGGAGGAGGAGATGGACGACCCTCGGAGGTGTGGGTGTGATTCAAATGCCATCTGTCAGAATGCCAGAGGGGAGTCATGGGACAGGTGACTCCAGCCCACCCCTGTGATGTCCCACGCTTACCTGTCCCGTGATGCCCTCTGCCATGTCCCTCTCTATCAGCCCCTCCCCACAGAAGCAGAGATGCTCTCTGCTCTGGTACATATGGGAGAGCTGAGGTTTTCACTACAAAGTCTTTGTCAAGGGAATCTTAGAACCCCAGGGTTATCCATCTCCTGCTGAGGCCTGCTCTAGAATAGGGGTCTGCAAACTGCAGCCTCTAGAACAAATCTGGCACACTGCCAGTCCTTGTACATAATCTTCTAGGTCCAGAGCACTCTGCTCTTCATAGGGCTTAATCACAGTTGCTTTTTCCACGGTCACAAGTGCTGATTTGTATTAAGCTTGTGGGGCCACTGAGACCCTCAGATCGTCTTCCTACACACATTTGCTAAGCCAAGGGTCCCTTCCCTTTCTCCATTCCTTTGTCTCTCCTTGTGTAGCTGGTTTCTCCTCCCAGCCCCTAGCCCCCGGACCCTTCTGACACTGCCTGGTCCTCCCACCCTGAGGACTCACCATGGCAGAGCGTCCATACACCACAGAGCTGCTGACCTGGGGGGACAGGTGGAGGCTGACATAGGAGCTGGGCACAGAGAGGTCCCCGTTGAGGGTGCTGTGGGAGCCGAGGCTGAAGGACGTGGTGAAAGGGCTGGACAGAGTCAGAGGGCTCCTCAGGGCTGAGCGGGAAGAGGCAAGGACAGGTCTTCAGACGCCCGGACCCAGATCCTGCCTCCCACTGCCTTGGGCTCTCCTTGGCTCGTCATTCAGAGCTTCTGTGCTCTTGTCCCACATCGGCCATATCGTGGGACGCCACCAGAAACAATATACATGGTTTCTCTGGTTGATATGACTTTCCCTTTCTTTTAGTTGGTGAACTCCTACTCATCCTTCAAAACCCAGACCAAGTGTCCATCACGTTCTCAGGAACATCCTTGAGCCTCACTGCCAACCTCCAGCCTTGCCCACCCTCTACCCTTGCCCCGATTATACAGGGCTGGGAGTTTTGAGGTCTGGGTCTCGTCCTCTGCCACCTGAGAAGTTCCAAGGCCAAGTTCTTTTGGGGTCCCAGAACCAGCACAGGGCCATGAGAAAAGATGAGTATTGTCATACCCCAGATGAGTGATGGGGAAACTGAGACTCAAAGAGGTTGGGTCACTTGCCCAAGGTCACCAGCTGGTGAGTGCCTAAGCCTGGCCGGAAACCCAAACTGTCTGACTACAAAGCTTATTTCTCCAGCGTACTAGGCTGAAGCCCCCAAATAAGTCACCTCCACTCTCTGGGTCTCAGTTCCCCTAACTGTCAGGGTAAGACGATGAGGAAACTAAGCCCAGAGCGAGGCGGCGTCTAGCTAGGGCCAAGGCAGTGAACGCCAGGGCTGGAATCCGAACCTCCCGCCTCCCCAGCCCCTACCTTTTTCTGGAAACCTCCAGAGGTGAGGCCTACACTGGCAGGCGCCAGCAGGCAGGGTGCTCACCGATGCTGTCCGTGGAGGGCGCTGGCTTAGCAGCGAGCTGGCACAGGTGACTGGCGGAGCTGGGCCCGGGGGTGGACGCGTCCTGGGGCGGGGAGGAGTCACAGGACTTGGAGGCAGGGGTGCTGGCGGGAAGGTCGTTCTGCAGAAAAAGGACAGGGCTGAATGCCACCAGGCACCTGCGCCTTGTGGCCCAAGGATCTGGCCAGAAATTGGATGAGAGAGGCCGAGTGCGGTGGCTCATGCCTGTAATCCCAGCACTTTGGGCCGCCAAGGCGGCAGGATCTCTTGAGGCCAGGAGTTCGAGACCAACCTGGGCAACATAGCAAGACCCCATCTCTACAAAAATGTAAAACGTTACCAGGCGTGGTGGTGCACACCTGTAGTCCCAGCTACCTGGGACACTGAGGCAGGAGGATTGTGTGAGCCCAGGAGTTGGAGGCTGCAGTGAGCTGTGATGACACCACTGCACTCCAGCCTGGGCGACACAGCGAGATCCTGTTGCTAAAACCTGTGCTGTTGCAGGTGCACACACTGGGGGAACGGGCCCCACAGCTGACTGCCTGACAACGGGGCATGTGCGTGTCCATACAGGCTGGAATGCCTGGCGGGCGCCTGGCTGGGACGGGCACGCAGGGGGAGCGACGCGCACGCGCTTGCACGCCGAAACGCAGCGACTCGCGCCTCCATCACAGCGCCGGCGCGTGCAAATGCTAAGGCATGCGGTGCGCATGCACGCTGAGGACGGTGGGCGTAAGTGGGGTGTTGCACGCCGTGCAGGGGGCGGGGATCCCCAGGGGACGGCGATGTCCCCTGTAAGAAGGCAACAAGGTTAGAGGCTGTGGAGATCCTTGAGGATGGTGGATGAGAAGCCGTGGGGGACCCCAGAGGGGCACAGTCCCAGGTGCAGAAAGAGCAGCGTATGTGGTGCCATCGTCCCTGTTTTCCACGGCGCAGGGGATGTCAGCCACAGCTGTCCCTCTCCAAGGGGCGACTCCAGGAACTCCAGGAAAGCGGCAGCCTGACCTCCATCTAGGGGACATGCTCTGTCGCCTGGGCTTTATGTCATTCCCTCCTGTCTTCCAAGAAACTTCGCCTCCTTGTCTGGTGTCTGTCTCCTGTCTCCAACGGTGACAGCCCCGCAAGCTCACCCTCAAGAGGGAGTGAGTGGGACAACCACCGTGGGGTCAGGGAGGACGCCTGGGGGGCTGCTCCAGACCAAGGGGAGGGGGGCCCTCCCCCTGGAAAGTCTCCCTGGAGTGGGAGGAGGGCACTTAGGACTGACGGGAGCCCCAACCTCTGGCGGTTGCCATGGCAACCTGCTGGGCGGGGAGGCCTGGAAACCGACATGCTCTCCCCGGCCCTGGGTAAGTGCAGGGGGGAGAGTGGGGATCTGGGGGGGTTGATCTGGGGAGGGGGGAGCCACACACGGAGCTGAATCCGGAATGCCCCGGAGGTGCTTTGTAGACGGCCCCGCACACCTGGCATTAAACTAACCATGGAGGCCCACGGGAACCTGGTTCCTATAGAAATCACCTCCCTTAGGTCAGGCTGGGGCCAGGTGAGTCTCCGCTCACCTCTGGGAGGCCTTAACCCTCGCAGGCCCGGATCGGGCCTCGTTAGTCGGCCGCCCACTCTGGGGTGGGGTTTGTCTCTTGGTTCCCGGTAAGGAGGCTGAGTTGCCTCTGAATATTTATTTAGAGAGCTTCTTTAGGAAGTTGCCTTGTAATATTTACTTAGGCTCAACGAAGTGAGTCCCTGTAGGAGGCCCCCCCAAAAAAAAAAAAAAGAGGAAGTGGCGGACAACGCCAGCCCGGTGTCCCCTGTGGCAGCGTCTGTTTCCAGGCCTCCCAGAGCAATGAAGTGAGTTTCAAGGCCCCCCCCACAGCCCTGCTTCTTACCAGGACGAGGTCCTTGGCTCTGGGAGGCGGTGAGCCCAGGCTGGAGGCCAAGGACGCCGGACTGTCCACGAGGTCCCGGCGGGCGGGCACACAGATGGGCACTTTTCCACAGGGTGTGGTGGCCGGGCTGGGGGGCTCTGAGGGTTGGTCCTGGGTTCGAGGAGGTGACGTTGGGTGGGGATAAAGTGAGAGAGGAAGAAAAAGCCCCTCTCCCTCCTCCTCCCGACGCCCCCTCCAACGTCTAGATGGGGCACCGATGACCCACTCTGTTTTATGAAACTTCCTGGTGCCTCAGTTTACTCATCTGCACAATGGGTTTAATGACAGGATCTAGTCCATAAGCACAAACAGCAACGACTCCATCAGGGCTTGGTTTGGGGGGAAGTGAGGCCAGGGAAGGGGGTGTCACTCCCCTCCCCAACAAGGCACACAGTGACCAGGACTTGAAGCCCCCTCTGTTTCCCTTGTTCTCTGCGCCTATGTTTCCCCACCTGCGCCATGGAGAGGAGGCTGGGGCCTGGGTGTCCCTGGGGGGCATCCCCACTCTTCCCGGCCCCATCACCACCACCCACAGAGAGGGGGCCAGGAACCCCGCTCCCTCTGGGGCCCCCAGTCCAGAAAACCCACCCTCACTCTGTGCCCAGAGTGGGCAGAGGGGGAGGCTGAACCCCTGGACCCACCTCGTCCACCACCAGGTTGTAGTCACTCTTGTCCTCGTCGCTTTCCTGGGGGGACACAGGGAGAGAGCCCTTCCTGTTCACAGCCCTGCCCCCATGCCCCCAACAGGTCCCCAAGGGGAGCACATGCCCGCAGGCCCCGGCGTGTCACTGGGATCCTCAGACGCAGAGAAGGCTGCACGTGCACAGCAATCTCTCCAGGGAGCTCCCAAGCTGGCCCCAGAGAGATTTCCCTAAGACCTATCCCCACCTCTGCTCCACATCCCTCTGTAGCTCCCCATTGCCCTTGGGAGAAAGACCAAGCTCCGACTCCCTTCCCAGATGCACAAAACACCATCCCGGGCACCCAGGCAGGGAGGCAGGAGTGGGACAGGACCCTGCCATGTTGGAACCTCTGCTTTGGCAAGAAACCAAGGGAAGAAAAAAGGTTGCAGCAGGGAAGCCAGATCCGCCCAGCCGGTGGGTTTCCTGCTATGCCCGGTTTTCTCCTTTCCATGAAAACAAGTTGCCGACATTTACAAAATGAGCTCTTGTATGAAAAGAAAGATTTAAGGCTTCTCTGAGAAACAGCAGGACAGGATCAGCCACCACTGAGCCTGCTGGTCAGCTGGGACCAGGTCGGGGCCGCCACTGGAGAGTGGGGAGGGCTGTGGCCTGGCCCCTGGGCTGCCAGCACTTGAGACTACAGGTGTGTGGCAATGTGACCATGGGCGGAGGGGTCCCAGCCCTCTGGAGGGGGTCAGGGAAGGAGGGTTCCTGCAGGAAGACAGCATTTTTGTGCCTTGGTGGAGAAACCGGTTTCTGAGAGGTGGGAGAAAGGAGAAGGGAGGAAAGAAACAGCTGGAACAAAAGCCAGGGTGGGGAAATGGCTGCATGGCCCAGAAGGTGCACAGACGTAGGGCAGCTAAAGTGTTAAACCAGGCACCACAGCATCTCTTCTGATTGGCCAGTGCTCGGAGCAATGGGGAGCTATGGAAGGCTGTGGAGTGAGAGAGTCACAGCCAGAACTGGGCTCTGGAAGGCTGCAAGGGGTTCTGGGAGCTGTTCTAGGCCACGCATGCCCACCCCACCTGCTCCCCACTTACATAAGGGCCTGACAGATCCTTCTCCTCTGCTCTCTCCTTCCCGTTGCCACCGGGGCCACTTGGTTGCTCTTCCTCCACCAGACTCTCAGGGGGCGACGGGGACACACTCTGCAGAGAGACAGGGGCCAGGCGGGAGGAGGGGTCAGGGCCCTGGGCCCCCAGATTGCGTTGTGGTCCAGCCAAGGTATTAGCATCTGTACCTCAAGCTTCCTATCTGGGAAATGGGACCTCCGCAGAGCAACCTCGATGCTACATGCCCCATCTGTGAAATGGGGATAGCGACAGTGCCTACCTCCTGCGGTTGCTGTGCAGACACAACTCGGTGACAGCTGTGGGACAAGCACACAGGGCCCGGCAGGAGCGAGTGCGGACCTGACCGTTACTCCTACACAAACGCACCGTGCACACCCGGCTTTCCTGGCACGACGGATACCAAGGCCGAGTCCTGCTCTGGGGTGGGGCTGTCCCGGGCACTGCAGTGTGCTGAGCGGCATGGCCCGGGCTCTGCCCGCTGGATGCCAGGTGCACACATGCACACACACACCCCCTAAGTCATAAAACCGATAAATGTCCCTGGACAATGCCAAATGTCGCTTGGGACGGGGCAGAACGGCACATTTGAGAACCACCGTTTCTTCTCACGCCCTTCGTCCTCCGGGAATCACACTCTCCCAGGGCGTTCCCTGCAGGTAACTCTGTGTGCATGTGTGTAACATGTTAGCGTGCACGTATGTAACATGTTAACATGCATGTATGTGATGTGTTGGCATGCATGCATGTAACATGTTGCCATGTGTGACGTGTTGGCGTACATGTAACATGTTGCACAAGAGAGAAATCTGCAAAGAGACGCTCCAAATGGACAACAGGGGTCCTTTCAGGGGAGACTAGGATTGCAGAGGTGGGGGACAGGTGTCAGCCCTGGAGACGGGCGAGGAAAGGCACGGTTGTAGGTTGAACAGGGTCCCCCAGATCCCACGTCCACCAGGAACCTCACAGTGACACTCTAGCTGGAAATAGGGTCTTTGCAGGTGCAATGAGCAAGTGAAGATGAAGTCGCACCAGACGAGGGTGGGCCCTAAATCCACCGTGGCGCGATGCAGCTACAAGCCAAGGGACACCAAGCACTGCCAGGGGCCACCAGGCTGGAAGCGGCGAGGAAGGGTCCTGCCCAGGAGGCTGCAGAGGGAGCCCGGCCCTGTGGACTTGGGGCCTCCAGAGAGGCCACAACAGCACTACAACCTGCAACCACTGCAGTTGTTGCGCAGGACACATTAAAAACTATTACCAGTGTTTGCGCTGGGGGCTGCGCGGGGCATGTAGGAGGAACGGAGGCTTTTTTTTTTCTTTGTTCAGTACCTTTTATTCTGTGGGTTCATTGTTTCGTGGCTGGTTTGTTTTCCAGCACATTCTAGAGCACTCAGCATACTGGAGAGTGGTGCTTACGATGTGCCTGGTGCCAACTGGGACGCACTCTTGTGCGACATGTACTGGGATGCTTGGAGACTTGGTGTGACTTTTAAAAATGTAAAATATCTCATTAGTAATTTTTTTTTTTTTTCAGACAGAGTCTCTCTCTGTGTCACCCAGGCTGGAGTGCTGTGCTGTCAGCCTAGGTCACTGCAACCTCAAACTCCTGGGCTCAAGCGATCCTCCTGCCTCAGCCTCCCGAGTAGCTGGGGCTATAGGTGCCACCACCATGCCCGGCTAGTTTTTTCTCCTTTTAGTTGCCTGGCTAATTGTTTCTATTTTTTTTTTAGTAGAGACGGGGGTCTCGCTCTTGCTCAGGCTGGTCTCAAACTCCTGACCTCAAGTGATCCTCCCGCCTCAGCCTCCCAGAGTGCTGGGATTACAGGCATGAGCCACCACACCCGGTCACATTAGTAATTTTTATATTGCTTACAGGTTGAAAGGACAATAGTTTGGATACATTGTGTTAAATAAAATAGACTGTTGAAATTGATTCCACCTGTTGCTTTGAACTTTTTTAATCGAGGCTACTAGAAGATTTAAAATGACATAATGATTGCGTGGATGCTTATACGAGAATGAGTGCCTGATAGAATGACATAAACACACACACGTGCACACACACACACACACACACACATGCACGCACACACAATGAATAAAAGCCTTACGCCTAGGACCAATGTCAGTGTCCTGCATTTGCTACACAGCACGTTACCTGTGGGAGGAGGTGGGGGAAGGGCGCCTGGGGCCGCCCCACCCGCTTGTTTGCGATCTCCCTTGCACCTCTAATTATTTCCAAATTAAAGCACTTTCTGAAAGTCGCACCCAGTTGGCATTCTCTCGCTAGGGGGAAGACTCTCGCAGGTAGCTCCGAGTGGAGGACGCATCAGTGAACCAACAGGAGGACGGGAACAGGGATCCCAAGGGGCGCCTTCGTTTATTGACTTCCCCCAGCAACCCCCCAAAAAGTAGCTCAAGATTGCAAAATGTACATACATCAGACCCCAGCCTTGTGGAAACTGGGCTGGGGGTCTCGTTCTGTGGCCCCATCAGCTCAGAACAACTGACCCCGGCCCAAGGCACTACAAAGCAAGGCTCGGGGGCCCCTGGACTTACCCTGCTCTGGGTTCTCTCCGCTGGCGGGTTGGGGGTGAGGGGAGGAGAGAGAGGAGGAGGAAGAATGAGGCCTTCGGACCCCATGGTGCCAGAGGGGCCAGCCCTCTATGGATTATAAAGCCCCCTGCCCAGGTGGGAACCTCCCCGTCCTTCCAACAGCCTGGCATGTGGGGACTGTCCCTTCCCCACCCGATTCAGATGCCCAGAGAGGGGTAGTGACTTGCCCAAGGACACACAGCCCGTTGGGCACTCGTACTGAGATGAGTTTGGTCCTCCACCCCACCCATGCCACCTGCGATGCCCGCTCACCTCTGGACCCCTCGGCCTCCACTCCGGCTCGGTCCTCCTTGGCGGCCGCCGCCAGCTGTGCCTGGGCGGCCAGCGCTCCGGACAGGGCGAGCAGCCCGGTGGCACTGCCGCCCACCAGCCCGGCCGGGCGGGGGGTGAGGGGGACGGGTGGGGCGTGGTGTGACAGCGGCTGGAGTTGCTGCTGCTGGAGAGGAGGAAGGGTGGGCCGGGGGCGGGCACCCCGCAGCGCCCCTGGCCGGAGGGGTGGACAGCAGGGAGGGGTCTGAGCAAAGAGCGTGCCCTGGGGTTCCAGTGGGGTGCCAGGGACCCGGGAACAGGGTGTCTCCCCACGGCAGGGCGGGAGCCAGGAGGACTCACCCCAATGAGGCTGTTCAGCTCCCCGACAGTCACCTGCTTGGCGCGCTCCACGGCCTGGAGCACCTGCTGCTGATGCTGGGGGCGGGGGTCACAGGGGACAGGCTGCTCTGAGCCCCCATCCGCCCTGGCAACACCCTCGGGGCCTGCCCGCCGCCTGCCCGCCCTCTCCCCGCTGCCCCACGCCGTCCACGTCTGTTCTCGTTCTCCCCCTTCCTCCCTTTCTGCTCTGAATTGTGAAATAAACAAGCTCTCAGAGAAAGGAACGAAAAACCTAAGTGCAGCTAAAACTATTATAATATGAAAGCATGCCGCATCAGGCTCTGTCCCTCGGCACCGTGGACATTTGGGGACAGATCACTCTCAGGGGACTGGGGGGGGCGCGTCCCAGGCACTGCAGGGCGCTGAGCAGCATCCCTGGTCCCCACCCACTCCATGCCAGGAGCACCCCCAGTCGTGACAACCACAGATGTCTCTCCGGGGCAAAACTGCCCCCAGCAGAGAACCGCTATTAGAAATCAGCACCGTGTACCAACCACCCGGACCCAGGAACGGAGATTAGCAGCCTCCAGAAACCCCCTGTGCTCCTCCCATAGCATAACGCCCTCCTTTCCCCACCTCGATGACAATAATTTCTTTGTTTTTCTGTATAATTTCGCCACCTACGACTGCCTTCCTAAATCTGCTTGGATTTGTCCATTTTGAACAGTTTTATGGGCTCGTACTCGGTGTTCTCCTTTGTAACCAGCTTCTTTCACTCGACAGAACAGTTTAAGCTTCGTCCGTGATGTGTGTGGTGGGTGGTTGTCGTGTGTTCGGTTTTTGGGGCCGTAGGACTTTCTGCTGTGGGACAATGCTCTGTCTTTGCTGTTCCACACAGAAGCCACTGGCCACGTGTGGCTCCCGAGCACTTGAAATGTGGCTGGTGCCACGGAGGAACAAAATGTTTAATTGCATGGAATTTCAAGGAATATACATTTAATAAATAGAAGTTTAATTTAATAGATTTAAAGATGAGTTCATATAAATTTAAATGGCCATGCATGGCGGGACGCTCCAACAGGGGAGGGTGGAGCTATAGCGCAACCCGCTGTGTGTACTACGAGGCAGCTGGCACGTCCCTATAGTCAAGGATGGGCACGTGTGCTGTCCCCACCGAGGAGGTGTTGGGACACTGACATGGGGCTCCAGCAGTGGTACACTGCTGTGTGGGTGTACCCTCGATTAGTCTGCAGACTTTTTCTATCAACAGTCAGAGAGTAAAGATTCTCCCTTTGCAGGCCGGAGGGTCTCTGCTGCAGCTACTCAACTCTGCCCTTGCAGCGGGAAAGCTGCTTTAGTTTAGAGGATTCGTACACCAATGGGCATGGCTGTGTGCCAATAAAACTTTATTCACAAAGACAAGTGGAGGGCCGGATTTGGCCCTTGGGTTGTAGTTTGCTACTTCCTGGTCTAGGAGAATGGAGTTGCTGGGGCAGATATGTGCGCTTTTATTCACTGCCTCCAAAAGTCCTTTTAGCCACATTTCTTGTCTTTCTCACTCCGGACCACTTTGTCCCCACTCTTGGTGTCATCAGACACCATCACTCCATTCTGTTGTCTAGACAGGAACTCTCCCCATCCCAAGCTTCCAGAAATCGCAGACTTGGTGGGATCCAAACCAAGTTGGGCATCTCCCCTCTAGTCTTGGTACCCATTGCAGCGAAGGCCCTCCCAGTTTATCCACTCTGAAGTGAAACCTATTCTTATGTCTCTCTGGAGACAGAATGTTCCTGATGGAAACAGGAACATCCAAGCCGGGTGTGGGGGTGCACGCCTGAAGTCCCAGTTACTCAGAAGACTGAGGCGGGAGGATCACCTGAGCCCAGGAGTTTGAGACCAGCCTGGACAACATAGCAAGACCCCATCTCTTTAAAAAAGAGAGAGACAGAGAAAAAGGAAAGAAAGACTTATTTCTTTTTCTTTCTTTCTTTCTTTTGAACAGCCAGTGCAAAGGTCCTGAGGCTGGAAGGAATTTGGGGCATTCTCCCAAGGGCTAAGTTTTTGTTTTGAAGTTTCAATAAAGTGCTCACACTATTATATGTATGTCCTAGTTTTATCTTTTCCACATTGGCAAAAAATACATAACAATTTACCTTTTTAACCATTTCTAAGTGCAGAGCTCAGCGACATCAAGCACATTCACAATGTCATGCAACCATCACCACCCTCCATCTCCAGAACTTTCTCATCTTCCGAAACTGAAGTTCTGTCCCCATGAAACACTCACTCCCCACCTCCTCCCCAGCTCCTGGCACCCACCACTCTACTTCCTGTCTCTGTGGATCTGACGACTCCAGGGACCTCCTGTGAGTGGAATCACACAGTGTCTGTCATTTTGTGATATGTCACCTAGCATAACCTAAGGGTTTGCTTTTACTGGGTGCTGACTCAGCGCCTGGCATCATCTTCAGCACTTTGCACATATTAGCTCATCTAAACCTCGCGCCAACGCTGATAAGGAGACAGACACAGAAAGGCACAGTCCTGCTCAAGGCCACACAGCCCGGATTTAGATCGGGCACCAGCAGGGCATCGGGGGGGGGGGGCAGCTCTACACCTTGATACCAACCAAGGGGGAGAAAAGCCCCCAGTCCTCACGCTCAGCCAACATCTCCCTCCCTCCGTGTGGGGGCTGCAGGACTTTCTGCCCTGAGCAAAGTTCTCTATCTGCGCTGCTGCTACGGCGGACAGTGCCTGCGGCGACCACCCAGACCTCCCCTCTCCATCTCCTTCCGCCATGGCCCACTCACCTCCTGGGTCAGGAAGGGGATGATCTGGGCACAGATACCGCTGAGCCGCTTCACGATCTCCGCCTGGCAGGAAGCAAGAAGAGGCTTGGAGGAGGAGGAGACCCGAATCCCAGGCCCTCGACTCCCAGGCAGGGACCAAGCATTTGCAAAGCTGGGCTGAGGGCTAGGGGACCTGTCGCCCCAAGGGTGCACGGGGGAGGCACTGGACAGCAGAGGGAGGGACTCAGAGCCTGTTTGCCCAGCTGTGTGAGGCCTAGGGTGGCCTGGAGCCCAGAAGACCAGGGCTGAGGTCCTAGGAGTCACAGACACACCACTCGCCAGACACACGCTCGACAGAGATTTGCAGGAAGCCGCCGCACAGATCCAACTCAGACATAGACCACAGACACCCAGGGCTTTGAGGGCAGCATACACGAGCAAGGAGAGAGGGACCCCCATCTGGAGTCCCAGGTCCCAGCACCAGGAGGGCTCCCAGGGCCTGACCCCTGCCCTGTGTCCTCCACTGGGGGGTCTACTGCATGCACCCACGAGTCCACGCCATGCTCTGGGCAGACAAGACCCCTCCTGCCCACATCGGAACCAGCAGAGCCCACCATACACCCAGGCAAGCACGCCAGGGTGGACACCCCCAGCCACCCCACACTCCCAGCCCCCCTTGTTCTTCCCACCCACCCGGAAGCCCCAACACGAAGCTCCTCCCACTAATTCTAATATTCTGATGGACAAAATCTAAGAGTCCGTCAAGCTCACAATCTGGGGAACCTTCTCATCCCCTTAGAAACCATCCATCGGTCTCAGGATCTCGGGGTAAATCTTGGACCACTGGAGTTAACATCAGAACCTTCGGGTCTGTCTCAGAACATTGAGATCACACTCAGAAGCTCGGGGACAGCCTCAGACTGCTGAGGTCGATCTTGGAATGACAGGGTCAGCCTGAACCGTGGGTTCAAATTCAGGGTCTCGAGAACAATCTCCGACACGCCCGGCCAAGCCCGCTGGGATCGATCTCAGAAATGTCAAGAAGCAATGGAATCTCGGGCTCTGTCGCACAACTTCAGACTCTCCGAGACTGTCCCTCCAGCCCCGTCCTGGGACAGAAGTCCCCTCCACAGCCTCCCTGACCTGGCAGCCCAGTCCCTGCTGCCAGCCTTCCCTGGGATAGGGACGCTGTCCCCTGCCTGGTCCCTGCCCACTGGACAGCCCCCGCTGCCAGCCGCTGTCTCTGGAAGTTGAGAATCATTTTCCTCTGATGAGGCTCCAATCTGCCCCCTGTTCCCAAATTAGTCCTCTGGGACGTCTGCGGAAATTACAGGACAAGACCCCTGTTCCCTGGGTCTGCTCTGCCCCACGATGCCCACCCTGGGGCTCCCTACGGCTTCCAGACCCACACCCTCCCCGTGGACACCCCTACCCCCCACCCCGCAGTTACCTGCTTATGCATCTCGATGTTCAGCCCATAGGACATCTCGTAATACTGCAAAGGAAACGCAGTATCAGGGGTCCAAGGCGAGTGTGTGCCTAGCCCTGTGCTGAGCGACACTGGGGTCTTCCGAGAGTCCCCAGGCACAGCAGGACACAGAATCCCCCATGGGGTCCCAGGGGAGGCACACACAGGAGCAAACAGACCTCTGCCTGGAGGGGCCCCTCTGCTGTCCCCAGAGGGGTGAGGCGGGTAGGAGGTACCCAGAGACCCTCGCCCCACCCAGATGTCCACCAGGAGAGGGGACATCCTTGTCTCGGCTCTCAGGCACTGGGAGGGCTTCCCAGACAGCCTGCAATCCCCACGGGCCCAATTTACAGACAGGGAAGAGGAGGCTCAGAGCAGGGGCAGGGACGGACCCCCAGCAAGCCCCCTCCCCACTGCCCCAGCCCTGGCACCGTGACTCTGACCCTCACCATGACATAATGTCGCTGCATCTCCGTCTTCTCACTGGCCAGCTTCTCGCATTCCAGCTTGAGGCTGGGAGGGGAGAGGGCATGGGGGGATCCCACACGCGGCCACATGTAGGCCCGCTTCCCCCCCACTTCCTTCCTAACCTCCCCGTCTCCTGTCCGGGCCAGTCGCTCCCCGCCCCCTCCTGGGCCCCAAATCCCCCGGCACCGACTGTCCCTAGACCCCAGTCCACCTGCGGGTGCACCTGGCGACGTCTGGCCCTGGCCCCCCGGGGAGCCCCCCCCTCGCCCCCGCGCCGGGGGCGCCCAGGTGAACTCGGCCCCTCACCTGTGGTACTGCGCCTGCAGGAACTGGAATTCCTCCTTGATGCGGTCGCAGATCTCCAAGATCGAGAACTTGAAGGGCTGGCCGGACTGCAGCGGGGTCTGGGGGCGGCGGGGACGGGGGGGTCAGGGTCCGAGTTCCCGGACGCGGGGTGGGGGTCC